GGCGGCATTTCTACCCCAACACCATCTTTGATGGCTGGAAGACGACGGGATGGCCTGAGCCATACGGTGGGTGCCATCCCTGTGGTGCCAGTGGCTGCACGTGCCCGCCCAAGCCCTCCCCGTAGGTTTGCTGGAGTCTCCGACCTACGTCTCCATCCTGTTGTTTGCTTCACTCTCAAGGTGTTATAGAAGCTTTGTACCTGTTCGCCGGCTGTTGGTCACCGTCACAGCATGCTGCTGGGGAAAAAAATGCATCTCAAGCAAGGGGCCAGTCAGCCCCGAGCATCCCTGGTGTGTCGGCTGTCGGTCCTGTCTGTGCCCGCTGTCCTGCAGCTTTGGCAGTGAGCCACCATTGGTGGGGCTGGTGGTGGCCTCAGCCGGTGCCTGCGGGCACTATGGGCATGGGGGGCCTGGGGCCAGGGTGGTAAATATGATTTTGGTGGAGGGGAGCAGCCAGGCTGAGGACAGGGACAGTCATAGGGGCTTCAGGAGGCTGGGAGAAGTGGCTGTGAAATGGGGGCTGCGTGCTGGTCCTGTAGGCTGAGCAGGCGATGGGTCCCTTAGGCTCTCATTTTAAAATTTATTTTTTTTCTAACACGTATATTTTTGTGAACAAAAATTGTTGCTTGATGTTTTTAATGACGTACCCGCCCTGAGCAGTGGAGGCTGACGTGGCTGCAGGGGGGCAAGAAGCTGTGCCCACTGGCCCCAGTGGCTCCCACCCCCTCTGCAGGGGCCTTCCTTGAAAGAGAGCCAAAATCAGGGCTCTCGGGTCACCCCTCAGCAGGGGGACACTGAACGGGGCAGCCAGGAGGAGCAACCCCGTATTGCAGGTTTTGCACTTCCAGCTCCATGCAAACCAAGTGGCGGGTGCCGCCTTGCCAGGATTTGGCCTGGGAAAAGCCGGACAGGGGGCAGACAGGGGCAGACGGGGGTTGGGAGCTGCTCCAGGAAAGCCCAAGCATCTCCCCGTTGTCCCCACCAAGGCGGACGGGGCGAGGGTGAGAACTGGTGCTGGACGAACATCCATGCAGCGCTCACCTTGCTGCAAACCCATGGCGGAGGAGAGAGCACATCTAATTCCTGGGTTTGTCATGCAGAAAGAGGAAAAGATAAGGAGAAAGGTGTGCAGAGCAGAGGAGGGGCTGGGGAGCAGGTCTGCATGGGCAGGGACGACGGGCAGGTCTGTGTGCACGACAGCGGCTCAGGGACTGCTGGGGGTCCCTTGGGACCAGCACGGGATTGGGACACCCCGACCTGGCTGGGGCTGCCCACAGCCCTCGGCTTGCCACCGGGTCCATCTCCACCACGCTCTCAGTCTCTTGTTTCCTGTGGCAAAGTCCGACGGAGTTTGTCCAAGAGCGTGTGGAAGAGTTATTTCATTTATTTGTCCTCCGTGCTGTTCTGGTTTGCTTTCGTTGTGGTTGCATGTGTAGTCTGAATAATTTATTGCAAAGAAAGAAGCTGTTATTTCTGTGTCAGCGATCCTTCCATTATTTTTCATGTTAAAATCCTTCTCTGTCTCTTTTTGTTGATACAGTGCGCTGCTTGGTTTCATTTGGGATTCGTTTTTTCATTTTTTTTTTCTTTCCTTTGCGTTTCTTCTGCTTATGTTATCAGAAGATGATGCTTTTATTGACAAACTGCCCATGTTTGAAAGGCGCTGTGAAACGCCTGCAGGTAGTGTACTAGCAGGGCGTTTTTGAGACATCTGGCTTCAGAGGGGCAGCTGCGGGCACTCCAAGTGCCTGAGCCCTGGCACCCACCGCTCGCAGCACCTTGCATGACAGTTTCTCAGTGACGAAAAGGACTGTGAGGTGAAAGGCTATCACCTCCTGAATTCAAAAGTGTTCATTTAACAGCACAAAAAAACGGTGTTTTCCCCCTACGCCTAGTTATTTCAACAGTACCTGGTGTCTAACATGGCTTTTGAGGTGGTGTGAGTGCAGGGAGCTGGTGGTTGTAACGGGAAAGGAAAAATTCCGGCTAGGCATCTCCTGCTCTGTGTGCGTGTGTCTGTTTAACTGCAAGTTTTATGTCCTGAAATGCAACAGAAAATACCTACGTTTCACTGTCACTTATTTTGCACACCAGTGTGGCATGCGGTTGCAGCATCCCATTGGGGAAACACTCGCTGTTGCTGTTGTAGCACGGCAGAGACATCGCTGGAGGTGAAGAGGATAAGGCGTTTGTCAAAATCAGTGCAGTTAGAATATGCTGACGGAGTGCACGAGCCAAGAAGCCTCTTCTACTCTAGACAAAAAAAGAGAACCCCCCCCAAAAATCCTTACCAAGTGGGCAAAAATACTCTTCCATCTGGGCTTCCATAGCTTTGCTTTCTGCTTTCTGTTTCCTAAGCCAAAACCAGAGTTTAAAAGCCCCCCCTTTCCTTGCACGTGAACGGCTTGCAGCGCCTCGTCCCCTCCCCGTAGCGAGATAAATGACCTGCTCTGTGACTCACACTGTGTCCTTCTCTCTCCCTCTCCTTAACCTTTCCCATCCCGCTTCAACTCCTGGCCATACAGAGAATGAACAGCCTTCCCTCGTTTGGTTTGACAGAGGAAAGTTTTATTTGACTTTCGAAGGTAAGTAGTGCATAGCATACCCGGTAACGACTTGCTCTCCTTGCTCTTGCTCTCTGACTCCCAGGGTTTCCTTCAAAGGCTCCAGTCCGGCTTTCCGTGCGAAATGCTATGGCTACTTAGATGACATCACAAGTTTGACCGGACTAATTTTGATTTGATTTGTGCCATTTGTACCGATGATCTGTTTCCCTGTTTATTTATTAAAAAAAAATCCAAACAAGCCAAAACCCAAAAGAATATTCTCATACTGAGACTGCGGTGAAAACCAGAGAGCGAAACCGCTTGCATTGCCGAAGAACTTGACTCTGTCAACCAGGGCTTCTTTCTACTCTCCCTCGCAAGCTGCTCGTTACCCTGAGCGGGCTGTGGCACAGTGTGGTTAATTAAAAACCGAAGGGCGATGGGTTCGCCGCCAAGCCAGGGCCCCCTCCCCACCTTCCATCAGATTTTTCCATGGTGAGGGGTCGGGAGCGTGCTGGCACTGCCAGCAAGCATAGCTGAAATGCCAGCAGGTTGTGCTGCCAGGTGGCTGGTCGGAGGTGTTGTGGGTTTTGGGGTCCCTCGTTGATGAGAAGGCACGCTGGGGAGGATGCAGGGGGAGAAGAGCTTGTTTTGGGGCAGATGGGAGCTTCTCTGAGCAGCATCACATCTTGGAGAGGGCAGAGGCACAGGTGCCTGGGTGGCCATCCCCACCCCAAGAGCCCTGAGGCTTTGGAGGAAGCTTCATCTCACAGACACCGTGCCAACATTTTTCTTTAAAAGAAAAGAAAAGCAGGGA